GCTGCCAGCTTATTCTCTTAAGCTCTATTTCTGGTTGTAAGTTTGAGAATATTCTTCCTTTCCTTCAGAGATGTACGATGTGGAAAGATATACTGTATTGGAGGACAACGCTCATCTCTCCTTGGGGAAGACAAGACCTATTACCTTAAGAATTCACAGCAGAATGTCACTATCAAATGCAAAACCATTTTTTTACACCACAATTCTGAAGATATTGGCTTAGTTGCTTCTGGAACAAAATGTGGAGATGGAATGGTAAGACGAAATCCCTTTGCTTTATTGAAACTTCTTCGTTCAGCTGTTTTAAAATGTCACTGGATCTTATAATTGGTTCCAGAGGGATCTATATATATAAAAAAGCAGGAAAAAATTGGCATCTTTGTTTTCTAATTGAGGAGCAGAGGAGTAATAACACTGTAATTAATATTCATTTTGCCTAATTTTAGTTATTCCAAATATATAATTACTTTATAAATGAGCTTAACAAGTATCTTAACAGTAGACATGTAATGAAATTATAGACACAATAATTTTCTAACTAATGTGACTATAAAGTAGTCATACATTCTTCATTTATTTTTGTTTATTCAACCATATTTACTGGCCATGTGCTATGGTGCCAATGACTATCCTAGACACAGATGATTTAAAGATGAGTGTACTTGAGAATTTCACACATTAACTAAACAGATCATTGCAATTTGACAACAGTACTCTTGCAGTGCTGTGACCAGTGTGCTTTTGGAATCTAAAAGAAGGGGCTTACTTTGCTCATAGAAGGTTATCACTTGATAACCAACACTTTTAACACACAGAAAATGGGGAAAGACTTTTCAGAAATACCTACACAATGTGAAAAGGCACAAAGCATATGGCATCTTCAGATAACCAACAATTTCAGAGTGTCTTCAGCTTTGGGTAAAATGGCAAAAGATGAAGCTGAACGGATAGTATAAGGCCATATTAGAGAGGGTTTATCATACCAAGATGAAAATGTTAGAATGTATACTATAAACAATAGCCAGCTAATCTAGCATATATGAGAAACATACAGTACCTTACCAAAAAGTCAGCTTTTNTTCAAATTTGCTCATAAATACACTAGGTGAGAATAGACAGTCACTTAACTTCCATTCCTTTCAATTGCTGCTTAATCTGTAAAATGGGGTTATAATAATGGTATCCTCACAGGTCTATTGTCAGAATCAACTGACATGCTCTATGCAAGAAAGAATAAGAAGGGATTCTTGGTGTCCTGATTAAAGTTATGCCAATTCAAATGACTAATGAGAAATATTCTTCCATGAACTTGAGCTAATGTTTATTTGTGAGAATCATAGAGATATCAAAAAGAAATGTGATCNCATGAACTTGAGCTAATGTTTATTTGTGAGAATCATAGAGATATCAAAAAGAAATGTGATCATTTTACATTCTTCACCTACTCATCTCAATTCGCGGGGTCAGGACTTTGCTATCCAATGGTTTTCCTCTGCGTCTCCTGGCCCCTTTAACCTGTCAACAAACCTGTGTCTAGAGAAAAGTGACCAGGATGCTGCCAGCTTATTCTCTTAAGCTCTATTTCTGGTTGTAAGTTTGAGAATATTCTTCCTTT